TCTGGCATGAAGTGTTCGCTACAGACGTAGCATGACTCGCGTTTTGGTGGATTTTTTCTTCTTACTTTTTCCAGCCATATTTTTGCAATTTTTTTGTCTTTTGGAATTCTGTGAAAGGAAATTTCTTTTCCCTGTATTGTTTTGGAACCATTGAAACAACCAGGCACCATACAATGAGGCATADTTTTTAAAAAAGGAGTGAAAAAATTAGTAAACAAAGCCGTGTAGAGAGTGTTTTTGTTGAATTTCGCGCGAAAGTGCAGACCGCGCAGTGACGTCACACGCCGCTGACCAGTAGTATGTTGCGCGTTCAGAAGGCAATTCAAAATGGCGACCGCCATGCTCGGATTTTTCGTGTCTTTCGTAAATTATTTCTCTGCTGTACTTGATGCTATGGAGTCAAGGCTTTGTAGAAAAGATAAGTATATAATAAACTTTTAATTGAGTAAGCCATGGATCGAGTGTGGGGTTCTCCTTTAAACCCAGACTCATTTTCTTAGGATTAGCTTTGTTTATGAATCAGATACCACTAAAAGTGCACGGGATTCTGTACATTACATTTGACTTATTGCAAACGAATAGCATGATGGCGTCGTTTGACTCCCACTACCAAGATGCTTCGCGAATTTTCTTTATTATTTAAATTTGTATTCCCTCATGAGAATAGTGATATCGTTAAAGTTCTTGTTAGCTTTTAAGCTATGAAGCTCCGTTCGAGCGCCACCGAAGTCGAGTACCCATTGACTTTGCCTTACAATTCTCTGTGCCAAAATGAAAACAGCATTTAGGCGAATTTCTTGGCCTCAAGGAGCAGGCAACAACGCACGGTCTTGGGAGTTTTCACTTAAAGCTCTACCGGCTTTCAAAAGTGCCAGGAAAGATCGAAAACTACGCCATCAATTGATGGTTTTCAATCATTCCCAAGAGAATTAAATAACAAAAGACACGGCGGCCGTGTTGGAGGATATAACAAAAGAATTCATTGACAATTCTTTTGTTAAAGTCCTCCAACATGGCCACCGTGAAAACCATCAATAGTGATAGCATCAGCAAAAGCTGTCTACACCAATAACATTTGTCAACGACAATAGTCTGGCAGCTTTAATCAAATACTGGGCAAATTGACGAATATGAATTTGACTCAGATGAAGAGACACGCGCTGAAGACGATGAGGTGACCGTTAAACCAGCTTGCGTGACCCGTTCAGACAGGGGTGTACGAGCATTCCTACGAATGGATTTATGATCATGTTCATAAACGCATAACAAAAGATTCATCTATATTTTCTTACAATTTAAGGTTCAGTCTTTCCACTATTAAAGCCATAGTTAGGATTTCTATTCGCTCTAGCCATTGTTTAACAGCTCTTCGTATTTTCTCCTTATTATGCTGGCCTAGTTTCACCTTTTTTAACAGACTAAAAAGTTGTTTCACGTTTTAGGACATTTCATTGCAAAATTCCAGCACGCCAAGCGATATATCGTGAAAAAAGTCTGCAAATAAATATCTCTAAAATGTCGTGCGATGTCTTGCCAAAACAAGACCAGCCAGCCAACAAGACTAACCAGCATATAGAACAACAGATGTAGATGGTGAGACCAGCCAGCCAACAAGACTAACCAGCATACAGAACAACAGTTTTACTACAATTATGTAGATGGCGTATCCCAAACTTTGCGAAGATGCCTTCAAAACCATGGTATTCGCACTATTTTCAGATCCGAAACAACTCTGCTGAAACAGCTGTTAAATGGTGACCCCATTCAGACCCTGATCAAACAGCGCTATTTTCAGTATTTGGCTTTTTTCTCCTCATCCTCAGGTACGACTTTTAGGAAATTTTCAAAATCTTATCAGCTATCGTGTATGAATTTGGATGGAAAGTCTTGGGCAAAAAAAAAGTTATGACGCCGCTTGAAAATTCGATCCAAAATTTGAAGCATAAAACATCGCGCTGTAGAAACGTCACCATTGAATGGATTGCCTTGAAGTTTTCACATGTCTATTTCCAAGTATTGAGGATGACCACTTGCAAAAAATCAGCATTAAATCTTAAAAACTCATTGAATTCATTTTTTTAAAAATTAATTGACGTTTTAAACCTCAAATAGAGTAAACACCCGCACGAAAGAACTTCAAATTTAACAACCTGTTAGCCTAAAATTATCCAATCATGATCCATTTTTATAAGAACCTATTTAGACTAAGATTTGAAACAGGTTCTTAATTTTTAAAAATGAACCTTAAAGATCTCCAGGAAAATATGAAACACTTGACTCTCTATTAATAATAATTGTTTTTTGTAGTCTATGAAAACTTTGTAAATCGTCATAACATTAGGGTCATGCAGCTCGTATCATAAGTTGTTGTGTCTCTGATGCTATCTCTGCACTTGTAATTCAGCCATTTGTCCAAAACAATTCAAACTCAAATCTTAAATCTTAATATGCTTTAGATTAATTACTTTAAATGGGTCATACAAGGCCTATTTTTACATTGATTTTATCTTCCATATAAAAATAAGAACCTACTAAGAACCTAATTATCCTACAAATTAAAGCACCTGTTATATAAGAACCTGTTTAGCCTAACTTGGAAAAACCTAGGTTCTTATGTGCGGGTGTTTACTGTATGGGAGTTTTGCTAATCACATTTGCTCCAAGTTTTTTCTTCAAACTTCCTAAGTGAAATTTTTACGTCTCGTCCTATCCAAATTTTGGAGAAAAAGTTTTTTAAATCGAGGTGTACGTTTACGAGTGAATTTGCAATGTGTGATTTCAACTAAAATAGTAAATATGTTATATATAATTTTCTACTAATGTTCAATAGTTGAACTATAACATACACTCTGCCATAGTTTAGTGATCCATCTAAATACTGTAGCTCCAAAAAGCCTTCCTATCAATAGACAGAAAATCACTACAGCAGCAATAGCAAAGAGTTTTGCATTTTGTGACACTAAGCACTTAAGCCGTATATATTTTCCTAATTTCATTTCTTTAGTATAAAAATTGTGGTATTTCATCATCGTGAAAGCATCTATCATGTGTCCCATCGTCGTAGAGGTAATAAGATCGCAAGCGGATCTTGGTCTGATGTACTCCGTGTGATATCGAAGGTCAAAACCAGGCAACGTTTTAGCTTCGATTCCTAATTCACTAGCCACTACACCCAAGTAAGTATCATCCGTGTGAAAGGGCTTTCGACCGAATTTTGTATAATTAAAAAACTGTGGAAGAATGTCAGTGGAAAGTACATGGAAAGCTCCATGACAGAACGGCGGCCAGTACTCTTTTTCATATTGACTTTTCGAAATAAACCATTTGTTCTTTGGGTCGCGGACAGTCTTAAAGCCCACGCTGACATATCCTCCATAAAACCTGTTAGGAGCGCCAGCTCGTTCTAGCCACTGTAAAAGCCTTGGAACTCGAGCATAAACATCATCATCTGTCTTCAATACATACCTGCATGAAGGGAATCTCGTGGTTACCCAGTAGTGAGACATAAATGTCTTTAATACAACGCTTTCATAATTGTCTGTGAAATTCCCAATGATTACATCGTTGTTTCGCGATGCTTCTTGTAGATTCATTTCATGTTCAGTTTTGTTTTCACTTATCGCCAAAACGAAAAATACTTTCCAAATCTTGTTCCTAGTGTACTCCAACGAGCTTCCCCATGTTTCTCGTATAGCTTTTCTCAGCCCACGATATTTGTGCCCTGTGGCAGCAGAATTCACTGCGACTGCCAGATAGATGTTCCTGTCTGGGAAACTGATATTAGGTTCAACAAAAGGCAGATGCAGAGAAAATTCTGGCCATACGACGTTTGAGGGACTAGTAGGAGGTGGAGGAGGTAGTCTTTGATTGTAATATATGATTGTAATAAAGCAAAACAACACCACAGTAAGGACTCGGATCTTTCTGAAATTCTTGCACAACCAATTAGGAAGGAGCCTGAAAATCACCACCATTGCTGACCACCTCGAAATCAATGCAAGGCTTCGAAATGACTCAATGAACACGCCGCAAGAAGACCAAATTGGAGGAAAATACTGAAATCTCGCAGTGTTGTGTTCTGTGAGGTATACTAAAGAACGAGGCGTTGTGTGACGCCTATACTATCATGTTTCATCACTTTCTGTTCATGGAATTGCGTATTAAAAATCAAATATTTGATAGCCAACCATTTTAAGCCTCGCTCGTTCCATTCCCCCATTCTCCATTTGATTTATACCTGCCATCAATCAAAAATAATCCAGACAGTATCTTTTATGTTCTTGACTGGTAGCACTTCAAAACCAATTTTGCAAACAGTCTTTTAGTGAATTCATGTCTGGGTTTGCAGAACATCGGCGAAACCGCATTACTCTTAATCCTCTATTTGGTTACATGATGATTTGAATGAATCGTATTACGGTGCGGCCCTTGCAACATCGTTTACGCTTTATCCCAAAGGCATGAACCAGAGCATGAACCAATACCAGAATACACAGGCGTCTCCTTGGCTTCTTTTGGTCCTCGGACTTCCATGATTTAACACAGGGATCGCAACAGAGAATATATGGGGTAGCCTGCTGACAAGGCTAACCACAATAGACTGCTAGCAAAAAATTCTAAAAAATTCTTAAACGAGGAAGCAACACAATAGATTTACATGCCTTCAGTTTTTGTTTTTCAGTTGATTGAATAGTGACTCATACAAAAAATTTACGGAAGCTCGCACACGAGGGTCACAGACCCTTTTTGTGTTACGAAAATTTTCATGACAAGAGTGGACCTGCATAATCTAAATATACAAAGATAAATATAAAATTGATAGCTCATTATTACAAAACACACATTCTAGTAATGAAAATATATAATATTATTTAAAAAATCCAATAATAGTAATAAATAAATAAATAAATAAATATGCAAATATATTCTTAGTTTTCGATTTTTGTTTTTCACTTTTGAAAGAAACTGAAAACTGAAACAGGAATTTCGATGGTTGTAGATTGTTGCTCTTTTTTACTCTGACATCCTGGTCTTTAGACATGTTTCGGTTTTGTCCATTGTTTACAAAATCTCAAGCTGAGCATTTAATTCAGTATTTAGCCGAGTTCAGTTCTTGCCGGCGCTTGGAGCTTGAAAGCCTTTAGGGCGTGGGAACACACTACATATTTTTAGTTAGAGGCCGATAACCACCTTGGATGTTATGTTGTCTTGAGGTATCAGGGTACCCCTAGCGACCATTGTGCATTCAACTCTTAATAGCACAAAACCTTTTAATCAAAACCTCAACAAAGTATACATTTTCTGAAAGCTGAATAAATGTAGAAATTATTCCTTTTTTCCTTTTCGTAAAATATATTTATCCTTTTAAGTTAGAGCGAATTATTCAAATTTTCACCGTGGCATCTTCGTGGAGTTCGATGACAGCTGGTAATGATCGGAAACCAATGTTTATTACCTTTACGAGATCACAAGACATCACTTGTCAAAAGTGTGTCTCCGATTTTTGATTAGTTGCCCTGTTGCTTTTTTATATGCTCTTAAAGTTATGACGCTGCTATATCACCGGTATGCAAGCCAAAATCCACGATAACTTTGGAAATAAGCAAAAACTAAAAATTCGGAGACACACTTTTGAAGAACGACTATTCAAGATGACTTACTCAAAATTTCAGTTAAATCGGTCAAATTCCCTTTGACATCGGACTCAAAATGCATGGGTAACTGAACGCAAAAATGTTTCTGACTGAGCGGAAGCGCCTTTGTTGACACAAACCGTATTTTTTTTATTACTCGCTATTAAAGATAACTTTCGAAATTTTTTGGGGGGGAAAATCGAAGAATATCATATATTTTATCGCAAAATGTAAAGATGTAAAAATCGATACTTTTGAGCAATTTTGGGGTACCCTGATACCTTAAGACTCTGCGCATGTTAAAGACTGGTTTTCACTAGCGACATAAGCGACGGAAGCATAAGCATAAGCATAAGCATAAGATTGTTGTGTTCTAGTGAAAATGAATGTGACGGAAGCATAAGAAAAACAATAGGAAGCCATTGTTTATGCAAGAATCCAATGTGTGCAGGGGACTGAGTACGAGAATTTGATTGGCTTACCACCTTGTGCATCTGTATGTTAGCGACGTAAGCATAAGAATCTGGTTTCACTAGCAACGTAAGGACGGAAGCAGAAGCTGAAGCATAAGAAAAAGGTCAATTTTCTTTACTTCTTTGCTTCTTTGCTTCTGCTTACGTCTACTTTTGTTTGGTTTTCATAGGAACATAAGACGTCTTACGCTTCTTAAACTTATCAATCTACGATAACTATTTACGGTTAGTATTTCCTAGCAGAGATAGTGTTGTACAATTTTCAGATTTGATTTCTCAGATTTCTCTTGTTCATTGAAATGACCTTTTTTCTAAGCTAATATCATTATTAAATTCTTAAGTCTTTGGTCGAATAAGAGAAACCACATACCTCACGAACAGGGACTTTTATCTTTCGATAGAGGTTTGTACCTCATTGTCATGCGCAGTAAGTCCAAGAAGGTTCCCACATGTTGAAGACAACATGCCATTCCTGGGTTCGTGCTGAGGTAACGACTTAAAATTCAAGGACTATTCAAGGAGTATACAAGGACCCAAAAATGAAATTCCAAGGAGTATATTAAGCTAAATATGCCAAGGTTTTCCACGGTAGTTGCAGAGGACCGACTTTCAGATTTTCTGATCTTTCTGACTAGATCTATTTCAGAACCATGCAAGTAATGATCAAAGCAAAAATCCAAGGAGTTTTCAAGGAGTTTCGCAAAAATCGTAAAATTCAAGAGCTTTTCAAGTGCCCTTGAAAACGTGAATTAAATTCAAGGAGTTTTCAAGGAGTTTAAGAAGCAGCACGAACCCTGCATTCTCAAGACAGGAGCATTAATCAACGAGAATTTTTGCGGGTCGTTAGACTTTTATACTTCAATAGAGGTTTGTACCTCAATGTCAGTAAGTCTCCCACAAAGTTATCCTCATTAAAATCAAATTCGACTGAGCCGGTCGCACGAGATGAACAAAGATCGGCGTTATATTTATATTGACATAGAGGCTGTGCACCATCACGTGATGGCAGCCATGACAGGAGGCACGCATGCGCCGTAAAACTATCGAATCTATGCATTTACATCGTTTTATGTGAACCAATATTTCCCCCAAAAATTTCGTGCCCCCCCCGGTTCCGCCGCCCCTGTAATGTTAGTATACAGAGTTTAAAAATACCTGCAGGAGTGTTGTTTGGTCAAAATGTTCTACGAAGCACCAATCATCAAGGTTACGAAATGAAGTCAGCGGAGAATTACTATCGACCTCAGCTATCTTTAGATTGCCAGACTCGTCACTACAGAATTTGACCTGAAAAAAGGTTACAAATTAATATTTTTTTCGTTTGCAATTTTTTCCCACTTCAGTTCTTGAAAATATTCATAATCATGTCTTTTAGTGTGCAACTGTTAAACAAAAGAATCATACTCTAGGGAATGACTCCTGGTCTGAAATGCAAAACATTACGCGCAAGCTCAAATTCTCTATTTGAAAGATTAGACAATGAATTTCAATTCTGATACGTAAAACTCAACTGCTTTGTATAGGAAATCGAATGGTTTCGAGTGCAATTTGGAAAATATCAGCACCAGTGAAGCTTAAAAATTAAGATGTTATTAAGATTTCTTAATTTTTAAGCTTCACGAATGCTGATCTTTTCAAATTGCACGAGAAATCATTTGATTTTCTTTTAATAATATGACCATCAAAATTTTTTAGATCAAATACAAATTCTCATTTCATGGCGTGAAACTTTTTGAAAACTTTTTGCACTGTGATTTCACGTTTTTCACGTTTTTGAGTAGCCAACCAATGAGAATCGAGGATTTTCGATGGTCATGTTATGGGCCTTTTTCACGCGGCAGCCATGTTGGTTGGAACAATAGATCCTACCACGCGTAGCCTCGCATACAAGAGTTTGAGAATTAATCTATGCTGGTGAAACAAAGGTTTTTATTCTCATGAGAATAAACATGGCTGCCGTGTGATAAAGGTCCATTAAGCCTGGTTCACACGAGCAACGCAAACGCAAGCGCAAACGCAAACGCAAGCAATGTTCACACGTACAACGCAAATGCAAGTAAAATAAGATACGCATGCGCAGTAGTGATTGTTTATAGTTCACACGTATTTTCCTTGCGTTTGCGTTTGCGTTGCTCGTGTGAACCACGTCTTGCGTTTGTGCTTGCGTTTGCGTTTTCTCCGGTTCACACGTTAAAAACGCAAACGCAAACGCAAGCACAAGAAAATGGAAAATTTTCCATTCCTTGCGTTCGCGTTTGTGTTACTGTAGTTCACACGTAGTTTTCTTGCGTTTGCGTTTGCGCTTGCGTTTGCGTTTGTGTTGCTCGTGTGAACCAGGCTTTAGGCCTCAAATAGTCCTTTTTGGCTTAGGCGTAATATTTTCCAATTTCGGACCTCGCACGCGTGTCATTCCCTTGAGAATAAGATATTTTGTTTGTGTTGCAACGACACGAGTGAAAAACGTCTGCGCATGCTCTAAATCCTTATGTAAATTATTCAAATCAGATGTAAATTTGACTTTCAAACATGCCTGATAAATTGGACTTCACAAAATGCCAAAACTTAGTGTCCATGCTTGAAACTTAAGACTTATTCTTTCATATTGTGGTATTTAATACAGTATCGTGGTCTGACAAAAGTACACTCGCGAATTTTTTTGTATACTTGGAGAAAACAAACATTTATTTTCTCACTCGAACTCTTCAAAATTCTTAGAAAACGTTCTGAAATGCACGCATGCGCTAACGTTTTTCTCTAGTGTCTGTTGCATCCATTTTCATGTCATTCTCGTACCCAAGCCCTTCTCAGCTTTCTAACGAAACATCGATTCTTCTCTGAGAAGGGTCTGGGTACGGAATGTATTTATGTTTCTTGTCATGTGCAACCGTTTAAACACAGAAATGATACTCTTGGGATGACACGTGGTCTGAAACGGGAAAACATTAAGCCCAAGGTAGAGAGTTCCATACAGCATGTGCATGTTACGTCATGGTCGCCATCTTGGTTGACGATAACAAGGTGTTAAGTATTCCTGCGTAGTGGCCCTCTCCAAAATCCCCAATTCCTCGTAGCAAAAAGAAAAAAGAAAAGATGGCGGCTGTTTCATTGTTATTCAGGGATTATATAGGGATTTTGAGTCACATGGTTGCACACACTCTTTTGAAGTGCAAGGGTAACACTGTATGTTGCAAGGTGTATTTAATACCTTCATGAAGTCCTCAAGCTTGTTGTAGGGATAATCCCAGGGGTTAGAGTAGGATCTGAATGCTTCATCCAAATCAACAGGATCAATGATAAATCCATCATCAGTAACAGTCTTTAGAAGCATCCCCTCGAACGCGTACTGCTTCAAAACATGATCCAAGATGGCGGGGTTAACCGATTTTGACATCAGGAAGTGACGTAATTCGTTGGCGCGCGCGGCGCGCTCGGCAATTTCCCGCCCTTTTGGCTCTGGCAAATCCTTCAAGGCGCTGCTTGGAAAGAACTGAAGCATTTGAAGCTGAGCTTGCAGAGGATTGAGGCCATTCTGTGGCTGGAGGTGATGAGCTTGTGACGTCAATGCGTCTCCATGGTGAAGCATGATCGGCCCGTTGGAATTTGCAGTTTTCTTTTCTTCTTTTGCATTTCCAGAAAAGATTGTCTGCGAAGGATATTTAACAAAATATTTAGTTTTGTTAAATCGTAAAGCAATTTTTCTCGTAACTAACTAAAAAAAAAGCACAATAGTGCTCAGAGGCGTAGAAGCAATACATAGACGAAGGCTTTTACGAAAGTCTACTTGTCGCGTAGCCGGAATATAGAAATTTCTTTAACAGTTGTTAATTTCGTACCGAGATGTTCACCTCGCTAGGCGCGCTCCGATTAAATAAACTTCGTTCCTAGGGCCCTGTCACGCCGAGAGAGAGGGCACTGGGAACGAGGTTGTGATTGGTCAACAACTGTCCTTCACACTTCTTTCGTCACTTCCTGTGTGTTGTATAAGTAAACGGAGACTATTAATAAATCGAAAGTACCTTTTTCTCATTTTCAGTCAAGACAAGTTTGCCAGCTTTGCTGTCAATATGAGCAGCCAATAAGTGATTCAAGCCATCATCACGTGGAGGCACCTCCTTATCTAGAGGATTACTCTCATCTACTGTAGCAGTTACCTTAGTAGAAAGCAATAACAAAGATATAAACTATAATCCAGTTACTTGGCTTTAATCGTGACCTTGAAGTTATGCGTTATGGGATATCTTGGGGTGAAAAGTTAACGTTAAATAGTTTGAATCTAAACCTGTACTGTTATTGTTCTTTGAGTAAAATGCACTATTATGGAATATTTTGGAATAAAAATGTGACTTTAAATAGCATGATTCTAAAAGCTGATGGGATATCTCAGGGTAAAAGTGGCAATACAGAGTATGAGTCTRAAAGTGCCATTGCTCTTCAAGTAAAATACATTATGGGATAAATTGGGGTAAAGATGACCTCACATAGTTCAAATCCAAAAGTGCATTGTTCTTTGAGAAAAATGCAYGATGGGATATCTTGGGGGTAGAAGGTGACTTCACATAGTATTGTTCTTTGTCTTGGTCACCATGTTGTTGGTGGTATGTAACAAAAGATTTCTCATTAGCTTTCTTTATCAATACCATAGACTGATGGCTGCCATGTCTTTGTCATTCAACACTCTAAGGAATGCTTGTAAACCATGATGTAAAAACATCTTATGTTAACCCTAAGGGTCTGACCCTTTTATCCTCACCCCTCCCCCCTGTAGTTTTTTTCTCTCAGCAGAATCTTTGAAAGTTTCCATACCTGTTCCAGTAGACAGTGCAGTATGAGAGGGATGCTGTGGCTGTCAGTAGGGACTGTATCCATCAGGTGCTTGTAGTACCGGGTATCTACCTCTACTGGAATAGGAGCCTGTGTTTCAGGAGCTATGGGACATCAAAAGTAGAGTCAGAGTAAGTCTTTCAAAAACTCAAAAAAATTTCTCTGTTAGAGTTAAACACACAGGACATATTGTTGCAAGCAACATTGCCCACTAATGCAATCTAGCAAGAGAACCCTCCTATACTTTCTGCAACATTTCAAACAAAAGTGCAAGACAGTATTGTAATAATTGTAGCATTAACATTTCATATAGAGTCACATCCTGTGTCCTAACAATAGGATTTAAGTAAGAGGAGTAAACGAATGAACAAACAAATGGATGGAAAGATACACGGACRAAAGGATGGACAGGTTAATCCCTTCAGTGACCCAAAAGAAGAAAAGGCAGCAATTCATAGATCTAACCTTGCACTCCGGTAGCTGATTGAGATGATAGTAATTCAGGGACAAAAGGAGCGACGGCTGTTGCTTCAGCACCAGCCAAGGAATGAACAGGGACCTGGACAAGCTTCATAGATTCAAGGTACTGTTTATACATTACATAATGGTCTAACATGTTATAGCATGTTACGGCTACATCTTCAAATATGATGGTCCCAAAATCAACCTGAAAATTTAAATACGGTCTTATTAACAAAGAATTTGAAGGTTCAATAGCATTGGCTAGAAAGTCATGCCGCTTCTTGTGTAACACTGTTGTGTTGCAAGTTTCAGAGTGGATGTTACTCAAACAGATATTAATTAATTACACTTAACTCAAAACTCGTTTTAGTTATTTCTGAGTAACTTTTGCCATAATCTGTAATTCTTTCTATCTTGTAAAGTCTATTTTTCATTATATGGTAATTTTGAAGTTTTAGTTGTTAAAAAAAATTGTTGCAAAACGTTAGAGAGAGATTTTTTCTCATACAACAATGTAATATTATCATGCACAGGGTCGTTCCCTCACCTTTTTCTCATCTTCCAGTTCTTGAAGGCTAACCTCGGGTATATCTTTGTCCTTAACCATCACCTCATACTTGGCTATGTCTTTCAACTTGTTGCCTGACTGAGCGTTAAGGACAATGTTATCAGTTTCAATCCAAAAGGTCTGGAGTTGTTTGTCCTTTTCTAACTTTTTTGCTCTTTCTTCTTCTTCTTTCATGGCCTTTTCTAACACCTCTGGATCCTGTTCCTATTAAACAGAAGCTTATTTTATAGATTTTTTCATTAGATAACTACCATCACCATCATCATTAATTACCATCATCATCATTATCATCATCATCATCACCATCTTCATCACCATCATCATCAACAACCTTTCTTTTTTTGTTTTGTCACATTTATGATAGTATAGCGCTCTCACCACTATGCCATTAGTGCTTCCCATTCTCAACATGCAATCTGATAATCAACTTTGCCACCGATCATTATCAACATTCTCAGCATGCATCATCCCCCTCATTCTCATCATTATTATTATCATAATCACCATTTATATTATCATTCTTATTATGCATCATCCTCCTTATCATCATCACCACTACCATCATCACCATCATCATACATCATCACCACCATCACCATTATATTCATAAATATCCATCTTTATCTTCAATATTTCTTTATCATCATCCCCATCACCTTGCAATTATTTTCATCATCATCGTAGTTACAACTAACCTCAGTAGCTTGCTGTTCTTCCGTTCCTTTTACTTCTTCCTTTTTGTCATAAGTTTCAGACTTAATGCAGATGATGGCATCAATGTTGATGCCTAATTCTGCCATGTAATTAATGACAGGAGCCATCCAAATGCCGTGGATCAAGACATAGTGCTGTGGACTACCTTCATCATCTGGTTCATCATCTGTCAATCAAATCAACAATGATTCAAAATCATCAGACTTGATCTATACCTGAAGCAACTATACAGCTATTTCCAAAAAGGATGGTGAAGTTTTTATAGCAGGTTGTATGTTAATTACTAAGCTTGAATTATATTCGTATTGTATCATAAAATTAATGGTATTTACATTGCCCATATCGCAATGCAGGCTTGGTATGCAATCCCAGGGGGGACTCCGGGAAAAATAAAAGTACCGGGGATACTCGTCGGAAATTTTCAAAAAGACCCCTAAAAGATACTGGAAGTCTTTAAAAAAGGGCACTGAATGATTTTTAACCCCTAAGAGATACCACAACAAATTACACTAGGCATCTGGCCTATAAAAAGCGCCTAGGATAAGCCATTTCGATGCATGCTTCTCTTACTTATTTTCCAACACCCTAAGAGATACCAGAAAATACCACAACAAATTACACTAGGCATCTGGCCTATAAAAAGCGCCTAGGATAAGCCATATCGATGCGTGCTTCTCTTACTTATTTTCCAACACCCTAAGAGATACCAGAAAATGCTGATTTTCAAAACTTTGCATTTAACACCCTAAAAGATACCAAATCGCGAGTTTTTATCCCTAAGAGATACGACGAGCATCCCCAGTACTTTTTTCCCGGAGTCCCCCCCCCAGTATGCAAATTGCAACAAAATCTTTATATTTCGTATGAGCAGTGGCCTTGCTCAGCCTTGCAAGATGATAGGGTGGCTTCATTTTTGTGCGCTTGTCATTCATTATGAGAACAGTGTATAGCATTGTGCTGTGGTGTCACATGGAGTGGTGAAGCATGTCATGATGTGGTGTGAAAAAAATATCAGTGGCCAAGATTAGGTATGTCATACCCTTATCGTAAAAAAGGAATATTTCTGGGTGATTCGTAACAGACATACCAATAGCCTTAAAGGTGTCTTCCACATCGCCCCTTTTCTTCAGTTTAGTATCCTTCTTTGGTGATGGCGGCAAGTCTGCATCCTTCTTTCCTTTCTTCTTTCCTGGTGACTTGGACCTACTTTTACCTGAAGGGCTCCTAGATTTCTTTCCTTTGTCATCTTTCTTAGCTGATTCTGCAGCTTTTGCTGCCTATTATACATTCAAAAATAACAGTGTCAAATAAAAATGGGGAGTAAGTATGTGTGTGTGTGTGGCTGCAATTTGGGGGAGCGGGGATATGAATTTCTTATCAAATCATATATTTAATTAGCTTAATTGGTTCATAAGTGATTTCACTGTAACATTTCTAATAAAGCAAAAGCTACCACTACATTAATCTACCAACTCAGTTGTACTGCAGAGGAGTAATGGTAAGTGGTGCTATATTCCTATTCCTATCAGATTTAAGAGTAGCAGAGATTGCTAATATATATCTCAGAGTCCACTCACATGCACTAACATTACAATTGAATATTTTATACACACAACTCTCAACTCACATGTTAATTTTTATTGAGGGAGGAAAACCGGAGAAACCAGAGAAAAACCCTCAAAGGCAAGGGAGAGAACGACACATCAAACAACAAACTCTAGTCATATGTGGTGACTTTAGAGCAATTCTAACTCTACTTCTTTACCTTTCTCTCCTCTTCTCTTCGGTCCAAATCCTTCTGTTTTATTTGAAGTAATTTGAATTTGACAAGCTTAGCCATCATTGAAGGCAGAATAGTCTCTCCCTGATCAAGGACTGCCTTGGCCTGTTCACATACTTCAGAAAACGCAGGTGCTTTGGTTGCTGGTGCTCCTTTTCCTTTTCCTCCTGTTTGTACTTTTCCAAAATCCCTCACCTAGAAGATATTTAGATTTTTCCTTTATAAGGCCAAGTAACTATGTCTGGCTCACAGAGTTAGGACAAGAGATGAAAGGTTCTGAGCTTAAACAGTAGAAATATATTTTGTAAGCACTCACATCTTTCATGAGTCCTTCTTCCGTGACAACACTAAACATTTTCCTGAGTCCAGTAGACACCACGTCAGATAAAACATCAACATATGCATTGTCTTCTTGCTTGTTGGGCGCGATAAAAAACACAAAAGACCTCCAGGACTCCTAAATTATGAAGAAATACAAGTCAATAATGTTTTCTGCCTCTAAATTGGTGAGTTAAGATAGTATGAGAAGCTACAAAGCTTAAACATTTCAAAGACAAAAGTGCAACAGTATTTTTACCTCGTTAAAAGGTGCTTGGCTGAACTCAGCTTCCCATTTACTTATTTCATTAGTCGAAGCACTCTTTCCTCTTTTGGATTTAGACATATTTACGACATAGGATGTACCGAATTAAGAAATAAAAGTGGTTATACTTTGTACAATTTTTGTCAACTTGTCGTCCGCCATTTTGAAGTTTGTTTTCGTTGCTACGCGCAACCATGTGTTATACACGGAGACTGGTGAGGAGGAACATTTTACTCTAGAGACAAAAACGTGACAATGTTTTATGTACCTGTTGCTTTACTCTGAAAAAATAATAAAAAATTTGTATATAAAAACAAATATAAGCTTTCTTTGAGATCTTTGAAATTATTTTAAGAAATTTTCAAAATCATGTACTTATTTTAAAATTCCCTCGTTTTTTGGGAGTAACTCCAATAAGACAGCACAAAATAATTTTCTGATAACGACATTCACTTCTATGACATTTTCCTATTCTTATTTTTACTGTGAAGCAAATTTAAGAAAAAGTTTATCAGGAAGCAAGTTACTCCACTTAACAAAAATATCGTACCTCCCCTCCCCTAGTTCCCTCGGGATTTTGTTTCCAAACACGTGCTTATAGGAGGCTTATGTGAATGAGCAAGACTTGACCAATAAGATTGAAGTACCGTTCTCTAACTGGGCTCATGATTGGCTAATATTTGAATCAGCCAATAAGAGAGGGAAGACTTGACTTCAAATCGTCTTCATCTCTTTATTTCTTTGTCATTTAACTTTCCTCGCTGCTCTTTTTCAAAGAAATTTCGTTCAAAAGCCTTCACATTTGTACATCTTTTGCTACAATATTCCAATCTCTAAAGCTATTAACATGGATGAGAATGAAGGACGTATTCGCGCGTTTAAAAATAAGGGAAAAGACAACTCGGTAAGATCGCTTAACCTACCTCGGGGAAGACGACCACAAATTTTCACATCTTTGTCTTAAATTTTGTTGACTTTGTGTTCAAGTTAACTTTGTTTTACCCTGTTTTTACAGGAGATGAGAAGGAGGAGAAATGATGTTACTATAGAACTAAGAAAGGTGTGTAAAAAACAACATATTCTTCATGAGTTCTTGTGTCTATATTTGTTTGGAATAAAGCGTGCGATAACTTAACCGTGCAATAACCGTGGCGCCGACTTTCCGATAAGGACCTTCAAGTAGTAATTCATTAAAGGCGTAGTAAGTTGTTTTATTGTCATAAAGGACCAGACTTTAAGTTTAAAGTTGTATTCAAGAACGTAGAACTTGTTTTGTGAAAGAAAGTTCATAGCGCTCAAGTGGATCTCGTGCACTGAAATTATACGAATTTGTGCTTCAGCAAATGAGTGATCCGAATGGAGTCCAAAAAAATCCCCTCTAAAATAAATGTATACGTTCAGAAAATAGATAAAAGTTCGTTTCAAATCCAATGGTTTCTGAAATTTATATCCTAACGGTATTCGAAGCCGCTTATCAAATTTCATTGGGGAGGGAATGGGGATCTTTGTGGGGGGGGGGGGGGGGGAGGTGTCGGCCAATATTGATGGACTGTAGGTGAATGAAATGAGACTAAAAATGGCTGCTAAGGAGAGTAGACAAGTTGATCAGCACATATAGTTGCATGCCAAAACTGTAGGAATTTTGGCTAACAGTCATAAAGCTGAGAATTTCAAACATCTCAATTGTTTATTATGAGAATTGTCTAAAAACTTTTGATGTGTTTTTTTTACAGGCCAAAAGAGATGATCAGGTCCTGAAAAGGCGCAATCTCAATGAGCTGGAAACCAGTCCCTTGAAAGAAGTCAATTCTCAACAGGTAACGTTGGCATCTCTTGACCTCGATAATATTGGTGAGGTAGGGGTTGGAAGTGCAAATTTTGAGGGGGGGGGGGGGTGCTATGATGAAAATTAGGTCAAAAGCAATAAAAAGCCATAAGATAGATAGATAGATAGATAAAACTTTATTTTACCTCAGTATAATCATCAGGTTTACAAAATGTTTAAAATAATCAACTAATCTATACTAAGTTTAATCTAATATAATAAAATGAAATAAAAAACCTGCTTTCCATGAATGCCGTGCTTTACTATACATAATAGGTTTCCAATAGTCGATGAAATTCTTTTAGAGACTCTGCCTGCCTTAAGTTATTTGGCAGACTATTCCATAATTGTGCACCACTGTAGGTAAATGTGTTTTTGAGATAATTTGTGCGCGGAAGTTCAATTTGTTGGAGGAGTCTCATAATGAATAGCAAGTGGTATCCCTCGTGAATAAGCCTCCATACATGCCCAGCTGTCTTGAATATCTCAATTTTATAGTCTTCTAATAAATTATACATGTATATCCTATATTTCATTGGTTTGCTTTTTTTCAGGTCATACAAATTTTGCCACTTCATACAGTTTTCCAAGTGAGTAAGAGATAGTTGCTGTTGTTTACATTATCAGTACCATGAAAAATATACTTTGTAAAATACTTAATTGTAAAGGTATTTTGTCGTATCCTGTCTACAATAGTTTGTTTACTCGTGTTCCAGAACTTACAAACTGGAGATGACAATACTATATTCCTGAGTGTTCAGTCTGTGAGGTAGGAAATCAATGGTAGGATAAATAGGTCACAATTTATTTGAATGGGGGTATTACCAATGTTCCCCTAATTAATTGGATTGACTATTTGAAATTTTACATTTGCAGGAAAATGCTGTCTAAAGAGAAGAATCCACCCGTGGATGCTGTAATAAAGTAAGTCAGCTAAAATTGTAGGGATTTTTTTAGCATACCTTATGAAAATATGTGTAATGTTGAGATTAACAACTATTTTTATTTTATRCATAGGGCTGGACTTGTCCCATATCTGGTTAAATACTTGGAGCRTTGTGATTTGTAAGTTATGGTGAATACATTTTCCCATTTCAGACCACATGTCATTCTCTTGAAAACAAGATTCTAAGTTAAAGTTGTATCCATCTACTCATTGGTCATCTCATGYGCAACCATCAAATAAAGAAATGATACTCTATAGGGAATAATACATGGTCTGAAACATGTCCAAACTTAAAAAGTCAATACCTTTCATTTATTATATTTGATAAGTCATAGACCTTTCTTTATTAAAATCTCATTTCCAGTGCATAAAATCCCATTTTCTCAGCCCAAAAAAGGTGAATCACAGCTCCCATTTTACCCCTTCAGGTCCCTCCATGAATAATACTAAAGTGCCAACTATATACCAAGATTTTATCAGTCTTATTATTATTATTAATGCTTTCTGTTGGTGATCTACAGTCCTCTCCTTCAGTTTGAAGCTGCCTGGGCACTAACTAACATTGCTTCTGGTAACTCAGACCAGACGAAGACTGTAGTCGATCAGGGTAAGATATTGACAGTACTAAGCTCTTGTCATTTCTCTCATCTTCATTTACCTTATAGAATGTGGACACATGGGTCAAATGTGTGTATTGGTAAGGGTAGAGGGTGGTATAGCAAGTGTACTTGACTCTTACATCTAGGGTGTCGTCAAGTTCCAAACCTGTGCAAACCCATCAGTAGATCCAGGGGGAGGGTTGAAACAGAATGTACTGGGGTTTTTTTGGGTTGGTTCGGCATCTTTTAAATGCCCCTTAAATGCAGAACACCCCCTTAAAAAATCCTGGATCCAGTCACTTTCTTTAGATTGTACATGTGTTTTATTAGAACGAAATTAACTATCTAACGTTTGTTATATGTATTGGTTATCTTCCAGGAGCTTTACCACTTTTTGTGAAGCTGCTGTCGTCACCCCATACAAATGTATCTGAGCAAGCTGTATGGGCACTAGGCAACATCGCAGGTATTATACCAGTATATATACAGTCAACTCTCGCCTTGCCAACACCCAGATTTTAAGGACAACTCATTATTGCAGATTTGAGCAAAATCCCTATGGAAAATGCTTGAAAAGAAATGACCATATTGACTTTCGCTATCATGAATATATGAAGTGACAGTCCTGAGGGTGTCGGCTTTAAAATATTGAATATTGCAAAAACCGACCTTGCATCTTGCATCCATCATTGTATGTGATTTAAAGGGGTTAATATTCTGATGTTGGTATATTATTTGCATTGTAAATTTATTTAGGTGATGGACCAATGATGCGCAATGCTGTTATATCAGCTAATGCATTAGGGCCACTATTGGCACTCACTGCTCAACCCACTTCTGTGAGTATTTAATGCAGAAGCAAGAATCAAACACTATTAACAGATATGTTCACACTTAGAGTAGATCTCATTGCATATCACGTGTTCTCATTTAAATTAATACTGAGGCATAAGATCATTGAATGGTCAATCAAAATCAAGGGAAAAGCCTTATTTAATGCCAGTGTTCCTTCAGCTAATGGCTGGTCTTCCAGGAAGCTGAGGGTGCACACTTTACCTCACTCTCTCMATCAGTGCTCTGTTTTAGTACTCAAAGCTGAATCTATACGGATGAGAGTCGAAATAAATTTGGAGATCCTGAGGATCAAACTGAGGACCTTTACCTCCAAAGTCAGAGCACCGACCAACTGAGCTACACCTGCTCCTAGAAGGCTTGAACATAGTTAGTCCAGGCACTATGCACATTCCATAATCATTTATTTCTAACGATTACTAGTTGCATGACCAAAACGATGACTAGAAAAATGTTTGTCCCATTTTACCCCATTTTAGGTCCAGTTTCTGCGTAACGTTACCTGGACATTATCTAACCTTTGTCGTAACAAAGACCCTCCTCCAGATGTCTCAGCTGTCAAAATGGTATGACTAGTTTTAAACAGCAAAGCAATTATTTGAAGCAAGTAAAATATTCCCACATCCTTTATGTCTTAAGACAGAGCTGCCTACAAATTTCTACCACATGATTGGTCAGAAACAATCACATGGTACCAATAAAACACCCCAGCAAAAGAAATTTCCAAACAGACATTTTACTACGCTAGTGATTTCCATAGTAGAGGGTGCACAGTTATTGTTAAATTTTAGCTATCCGTTAATGATAATGCGGGAAGCACAGGTGGCRTAGCGGTGAGCGCTCGCYTCTCACCAATGCAACCCGGGTTCGAGTCCTGCTGTGCTTGCTAGTTGAGTAGAGTTGTTTGTTGGTTCTCTCCTGTGCTTCGAGGGTTTTCCGTGTTCCCCAGCTTTCCTCCCTCCGCAAAAATCAACTCCTAAATTCCAATTGCAATTACAGTGGATGAATAGCTACTCTGTAGAAATGCCACTGCTAAATCCCATTTATTTTATTATTTATTATTATAATGCTTAACTATTTTCCAGGTTTTACCAACACTTGTTCGACTTCTTCACCATGATGACAAAGAGGCAAGAAAATTACAATATCTTGTTTGGTTTTATTTTTGCATCATATGCCTTAGCTTTTCCCATTACTAGCTACTGCTCAATGATCATAATATTTTTTGACTGTTTTTTTAGGTTCTAGCTGACACTTGCTGGGCTTTATCATACTTAACAGATGGTGTGAATGACAGAATTCAGGTTAGAAAAAATTGTATTGTTTAGGGATTACATTTGAATGGCAAGAGGAACCTACGATACATTGATTATAGAAAAATCAACAGCCCACCTCATTAAAGGAATAAATATCATAAACCTAGCCATTGACGTTTCAGCCTTCCAAGGTGTCAGAACTTTGGGTAGCCTACATTCAGCTGGTATAATTTCCTCAAAATGAAGCATTTCAATTTTTAAAACGAGCTATAAGATTCCCTTGCAAGTGTGTTTATGATTACAATAAGTCATGAGATTCGAACTAGCTACCATTAAATCAGAGTTTGCGTAAGAATTGAACCAGGCGAGAGCCAATCAGAAACCACTTCTTATTTCGGGCCACAGGGCGCAAGGATTCTGGCGCTATTTTGCAGATGGTTATTTCAAGGAATATAATACCAGCTGAATGCAGGCTAAACTTTTGGTTGAATGAAAATACTGATGACCCTCCCCTTCTTGCTGTGTAATAACTTGATAACCCTCTCTATTCCTGCAGCCCTAACCACTCTTTAAAAAAAATGAAATAAATTTTCCCATTCCTAGACATTTTTAGAGAAAAATTGAGGCATTTTGGGAAGGTATGTTATTTGGGGCAAAGGGCTGTAGGTTTTAAAGTAAACTTGTTTAAAATTATTGTAGTCCTCCCCCTTTCACAAAGTAAGAAATTCATGACCCTCCTATAAATTCACCAGGAACTAGCTTTCCTCAAATTAAGAAGATTTGAACCTCCACAAAAGTTCAATTTTTTACTTTAAAAATGTACATCTCCCCTTAATTTTCCTCTGTTTTCAATATCAACAGCTGGTGATAGATTCAGGAGCAGTTCCACAACTAGTAAAACTGCTAGGTTACCCTGAAGTGAATGTTCTAACTCCTGCACTGCGAGCTGTTGGGAACATTGTTACTGGAAGAGATGATCAGACACAGGTTGGTAAACAAATATTAAAACTAAAAAAATGTTAAACATTGTGTTCTGACCATTCACATGCAACAGTTAATTAGAAATGAATTCATTCTCGCATGTGATTGGTCAGAACATGATGTTCAACATTCCAGACATTTTAGGTGTTCATTGTATTCTTACATTGACTGTAATATTTTCTACGAGAGTTTTGAATATTATAAGAAATTATTGATTTAGATATCGTTAAATACATATGGAAGTAGTTGTAAGAAAATATAACTAGCTAAAAACTGGTGTGAGCTSAATTGGTGTTTCTAATGAAACAGTAATGATAAAAAGGTAAATTACATACCGTGAAAAGATGACGTTTCGGATGCTAGTAGTAATAAAGGTCCTCGTTTGTATCCTCAGGATCTCCAAAACTGTTTTGACTCTCATCCTTCAGTTTTTTCATCTTTTCGCGGTGTATAATTTACCTTTTTATCATTACTGGAAGTAGTTGTAATAATTTGCTTTTACATTCAACACTCACTGAGAGTAGAGAACAAGCCATCAAACAAACTCAAGTTGTGGTTCAGTTGAATTAATCAAACCAGTCAGGGCTTTAACTGTGCAGCAATATTAAAGGGACAGTGCCGTAGTAGTACATACCACAACCACATGCTGTTGAGTACATTCTAGGACTTTGTGGAGAGTAGGTAGAGCTGGAAATTATAGCATTTTTTTCTTGGGATGTTTTTTTTCCTTCTTGGTTTTGAAGGCTTTTAACYGAGTTGTTGATCATTACTAACTTAATTTTTCCAATGTTTCAAAGATGGTGACTCAAATTGTTCTATTTTTTCAGGCAATAATCGAGAGCAATGCATTATTCTACTTTAGGAATCTTCTTACACATAAACGGCCCAGCATAATCAAGGTATCATATTCATCATAAGATTTTATCGTAATGTGTAGTTCCAGAAATCATCATACCTACCCACCCCATAGAGGAATTCGGAATTTCCGAAGAGTAGGGGGGTCAGAGAAAGAACAAAAATTACAGAGTTTGTATGGAAGAAAATTGGAATTTCCGGGGGATAGGGATATGGATAATTTTTGGAACTACACAATATTACACTTTACTGTCAATATGCTAATCATAGATAAGCCAATTTCTTAGAAATCTGGAATTCTAGAACCAGGGCTTGTGCAGAATGCAGACAAAGCCACAAGTGTTTGCACTTTTATATTGTTGTATGATGGAAAACTGTTTTAAAACATCTTGTTTTTAAGTATTAGTAATTTTTCTCTCAAACTAGGAAGCAGCATGGGCGATATCTAATATAACAGCAGGAACAAAACTGCAAATTCAGGTAAAAAGCAAAAAAATGTCGGATATATCAAAGGATAAGGATTGAAAATGCAAAGTGAAAATAAATAAGTGACAAAGCATGTTTATTCTTTATACACATTTTATTCGCAAAATTAAAACTCAATAATTATTTTATTTTGTTCTTCCAGTGCGTAATAGAAGCTGGTCTTATTCCCCTTGTCATTGGCATCCTAAAAAGAGTAAAAGTATGCACTTTGAATTAGTACTAGAACAAGGTCATAACTTAGTGTTAGTGTTCAAAATAAGGACCCAACATAATTGATTTAGGTGGTGGGTTAAGTGACAATTACCCCCCCCCCCCCACCCACCCACTCAGAGACATGTTGAAAAACCCAATACCGGTTGTCCAATGTGGTTATTTCTATGCATAAATAAGTCTAGCATGCATGCAGACAGACATTCATGAAATAAAAAAAGACTCTAAAGGTTTCATGTTTAAATTGTTTATAAGACAATGTTTCAACTGTTGTGAGATGACAATATAGTTTTAGCCTTATCCCTAACAAAGAATCTCTGCGACTTTCTAAAAAAAGTTATAAGAATATTTAATATTAATATTTCTTTGAAGGGTGACTTCAAAGCAAAGAAGGAAGCAATCTGGGTCATCACTAACTATACATCTGGTGCTTCTGCAGACCAAGTAAGAAATGCTGCATATTACAAATGATTTTTTATACCTATGTGACCCAAAAATTTAGCTATAATTTGAGACATCTGGATAATTTAGGTTTTCATCATTATCAAATTTCCAAATGCCTCAGATTTCGATTTTTTATTTATTTTTTACTGCAATTCTCAGTCACACTCCCAACTAGACCTATTGGTTTCTATTGTTTTCTATTGTTTTCTACACCAGGACTGGTGTAAATACTCATTTGAACAAGTGCAAATGTGCAAAAACCGTTGTCCTTATTTCATGCCTCTTGTCGCTGCAAATTTCTTGCTCTGGACATACAGTTATTTTCTCGAAAATGTCAGGATTCCGGCTCAGAATCTCAAATGCTTGACTGGAAAGCTATCAGTATTGACTACGATTTGAATTTCTTCAAGATCAGATAAGTCAATACCGATAGCTTTGCAGTTAAGCATTTGAAATTCAGAGTCAGAATCCAGAAACCCTTTTGATTGACGTACACCAAAAATCAATTTTTCATTGTGATTTAGGTCTCAGTTGGTGAAGCGTGACTGGGAATCCCAGTAACTACCATTTTTTGAAATTTGGGGCGGTAATATTGTAATGAAAATGAGTAACTTTGGAACACATGAATTTGTTTTTACAGCTCAAATACCTTTTACATTGTGACGTTATTCCTCCCATGTGTGAACAAATGGAATTCCTTGATCCAAAGGTATCATTTCATAAATAATTCAATTCTTTTAATGACAAAATGTACATGCATGTTTGATGCAAAATTATCTAAAACTATCAGTCATTGCCAACAATCTACTGTTGTCATTGCTACATGCTGATCGAGGCAATTGTTAAAAAGGAGTAATTTATTGGCAATAGACAACAGTACACCAATCAATCAAACACATCTTTCCCGTACTCCAACAATATATTTGATTGACAAAGTCTTCTAGCAAGAAAAATGGTGTTATTAAGGATCGTACTTTTGCATAGTAATGTTGATTTAGTTTATATTTTTTAGAGTTAACCATATTTTCTGCTTCTTTTGCAAAGGCTTTATTAATTCTCCTGGATGGCTTGAATAACATTTTCCATGTAAGTGATAACCAATGCTGTTTCCCATAAGTTTGTAAACAAGATGTTTATTTGCTCTTATGACTGCTGAATTGCATTACCAATATTGAGATTTTTTACATCGCATTGCAGAATGCCGCTTCAATAGAGGAAGGAGCTGCTGAATTTGTAGCAGAAAAGTTTGAAGAGAGTGGTGGTATGTAGCAGCTAATGTTCACCTTATGCTTATTCTCTATGCAACTATTCATGATTTATGAGGGTGGGGTAGGGGAGTTGACATCAATTGTGTGTGCATCACAAAACAAAGGGGTATGCACCCTTCTTAAAATTGCCTTAAATGTTAGGCTAACATAGAAATACAAAAGTAATGACACAAATTCCATCGAGAATATATTTCCATGTTAGCCTTGCATCCACAACACTTTCTTAGAAGGACCCTTTGGTTTATTTACCACAAATGTAAATTTTCTTGTTTTCTGATCAGAGCTTTCAATAAAAGGTGGCTACTGGCGGTTTATCGCCRGATACTTCACCTTAAACTGTAGGCTATTTTGACAAAAAAATGATTTATTGCCAAATAAAGTTATTTACAAACACCAGTGGATTCAGCCTGCTACATTTTAGGACTAACGGCCTACTACAAATATTATTGAAAGCTCTGTCTGATTGGTTGAGAGACTTGGTAATTAAGACGACAAAACCATAGGTAATTTGTTGAATTTACCATGGAGAGTGCCACATGTTTTCACAATGAATGACTGAAACCAGAGGTCACTTACAAATCATTTTATTGTCGATTGCTAACCAGCTCAATCCACCTTTTCTTGTAGGAATTGACATGCTTGAAAAACTACAAGAACACCCCAGGCCTGAAGTATACCTAGCCAGTAAAGCACTGATTGAAAAGTACTTCTCAGAAGGAGTTGATGATGAGGACCCCAATCTTCAACCTGATAGCACCGAGGGGTATCAATTTGCACCTCCTCAGTCAGCTCCGCCCACAGGATTCCAATTTACTTGATGAGGACAACATATCGTTACTCTATACCATTCGTCCTTTGAATATTGTAAATATTATTCTAATAATAATACTATAGTTGTCATTGAATCATGCTCCGACTTGTTTGATACAGGAGAGAGCAAAACTGGATTGTCAAGTCATGCAGGCTAGAAGTATTTCAAATATTGTGCAAAATAATTATTGAGATTTCCTTTGGTACAGTATCGGTGTAATGATGATGAAATATATGGAAGAATTGATCATTATACACACTAGGCATTAAATGAAATATTTGACTGCTAAAGTGATAGATTGGTGAGAAATGTTTAATGGAGAAGGGAATCAATGATCATACTTGGAATCAGCTTTTTGTTCGACACAATTCGATGCAATTAAACAAAATAAAGATTCATAATTATATTGCAAATCAACTCGCTGTTTCTTTTCTCATGTTAGAATGATTTTGAATATTCTGGAGCATCGTACAAAAGAAATGTAAGGCTGCTACACATTAATCAAGCTTTGCATCACCACATGATGGTCTTTCTCCAGAGAACTCTTTCTTAAAACAGATTAGACGAGATTCAATATTGTTGTTCCTGCCTCCTGTCATGGCTGCCATCAAATGATGGTGCAAAGCCTGCATACAGAGATTCTTAGGGTTGTCTCTCAACACTTGCATGACAACCCTGTGGAAGTCTGTAGGAGGTTACATACTCTCTTATCTATATCAACAGTCCTTTTACAGTTGATTGAGAGAAAACAGACTTCTATATAAATCAACCAAGACAAATTGCATCATTGCATCACCCACATATATACTTACAAGCGAGTAGTATAGGGGTTGGGGGTATCAGCGCACCTCCGACCCCAGGATCACCTGCGTAAAGACGAGCGATACCGACTGTTTTGTAATTTGGTAATGGAAAGAGTCCAAAATATTTGTCCTATATACTATGTGCGAATGTAAAGAATTCAGTCCAATTTACGATCTATGCATGAAATGTCTTAGGCCCCGCTTTAGAACCACCGAGCCAAATAAGTATATTTGTTATGGTAAGAAGATGCAAATAGAAGATGACACGTCAGCGCAATGTTACGAATGTGATAACTCTAATGATATGCATTTTACACAAGTTTTTTTCACAACTGTGTAATATTTTGTGAAACCACTACAGGCTGTGTAATATTTTGTGAAAATGCCACTTACTTTGAAACAACTACAAGATCGCCGTGACCAGTGCGTGGAAAAAATCGAGGAGTGTAAGACAGTGGCCTTGAACTCTGGCAGAGCTGCCATGAATTCGATTTCATTTAACGCCGCCGAGTTTTTTCAAGCATTGACTGAAATGGGCGATAAACAGATCGAAGATTTTCTTTCTCTTTTTCCCCAGTTGCCTAAGATATTAGATTTATCTCGACAAGCTGCCACTAAGGAATTAAGAAGAAGGAAATATGAGGCTGATATCAAGAAAAAGACGGAAGAAGCAGCTCTAAAAATTCACCACAAGTATGAAACTCATCTCAAGAGAGAACGAAGTGCCGAGCGGCGAGTAAGGAAGTTGAGGAATCGTAGTGTTAGTACTGAAATCGATTCTTCGCAGGAACTATGAACTTCAATTTCAGCCCATTATTCCTAAGCAATTTGGGTTTATCAATAGGGCATGACTTGTATTAACCCGGACTTGATGAAATAAAAATTGTGGAACTAATTTGCCTATGACCCAGACTGTCGTTCAATATGCAAATGAAATCCCGTTTGGCTTTTTTCAACGCAAATATTTACTGAGCGAGTTTTCTTTGAAGCTCCGCTTTTGCTTCTTGGAATATCTTTTTTCTTGTTTCCTCGGATAGATCTTTGACGATTGTTTTTTTATTTCTGATGCCGGACTTAAGCTTCTCATATTTCTCCTCCTCGGCCAGAATAATCGAGAATTCGACGTCGTCTATCTTTCTATCGCGCAATGCCTTAGAAACAAGGTCAGTAATTGTATTTACTTTTGCCCTAGACAGAGCTATTGTTGTGTCGTGCTTTGATATCTTGCCGGATAATTTTTTCATGACGCCTGTAGTAACGGCCGAGATAATGCCGCAGGCGGCTCCGACGGCAGCCAAGGGAACCCCAACAATTACTCCCGGCCCCGTAAGTGAAGTTGCAACCCCTGAGCCTGTTAAAGCAACGGATATTTTGGAGATCAAGCGCACAAAGAATACCAGTGTGCGAGTGACGGTGATAAGATAAACTGCTACATCTTCGTGGTTAGCGACGCGCAGCCAAGCGTAGAAATGAATCAGCTAAAGAGCGTTGCCTATTAAAATATTTGGCTAATATACCATGTTACGCAACTTCTGCAAAGACGACACGACACTGCAATGCATAGTGCAAGGCGAAACCCTGTACTTCAAAGCAAAGGAGGTGGCCCTGGCGTTGGAATACGAACGCCCAAAAAATGCTATTAGAGTCCATGTGTGAGAAATATCAGAAAAGATGGGTTGACCTACAAGGGGCCCCAAATCAGGGCCCTTCTACTATCCACCCACATTCCGTGTATATTTCGGAACCTGGCCTTTATGAGTTAATATTCAATTCTAAGTTACCCAAGGCAAAGGAATTTCGCGATTGGGTATTTGAAGAAGTCTTACCGGCACTACGCAAAACAGGTAAATTCATGGTAGAAAAGCGATTCGATAGTTCAAATAAGTTAGTATTCAAGATAGAAAATGAATTTGACCTGCATAAGAAAGTCTTAGATTACATGAGGAAATACTACCCTGATTTACTGGTGGTTGCCGGCTTAGGAGAACTGCAAGACACCGCAGATAAGAGAATCAAGGGCTGGCAGAAAGGATATCAAAAAGGGCAACCAGATCTGACGATTCTTAATGCCCATAAGAAATACAATGGCTTCTGCTTAGAGTTAAAGACACTCAAAGGGAATGGGGTATTATCCGACGCACAAAGAAAGGTCTTAGACAACTACGAAAAGAATAATTTTAAAGTAATAATTAACAATGATTACGACGAGATTTGTAGAAGCATCATGAAATATTCTCAGGGTCTTAGACTGCCCTGCCGGCGCTGCTGCAAGAAGTTCAAGTCCGCAGACACCTTAGACGTACACCATAAAAAATTTCATAAGATATATGAATAAAGACAAATTTAATGCGCTTAAGTTAGTACAGACACACTGGAGGGAGCTGACGGTAGGGGAAATCTACGAGATAAAAAATTACGTAGTCTTCGAAGACATTGACCGTCTGAGGTTAGTCCTAAAAGGCGATAAAAAAACATACTGCCTTTGGGCACCTGATAGGATAAGGTACGCCATCGAATGGCAGGATGTTACCCATATCATGAGCCATGGTAAAAAAGACRGTAAGTGGGCATTTGACGTAGTTAAGTATGAGCCGGAGAGTCCTTTACATTCTTAGGCAGGGCGTCCGCCATCGTCCTACAGGCCTTTGGGTCGCACCAGTGGTCGTCAAAGGCTTCTTTTATAAGAAAGTACTGCCGCAATGAAGGCAGTCGTATTTTTTTCGGGTCTTAGGTTTGGGAGGTCTCAAACATTCCGCTGGGAGTTCGCATGTGATGCAGTCCATATATTATGATGGGGAAACCATCTCAAAATGGCTTGTTAAAGGAGGTCGGAAACTGTCTTAGGATACCATGTTGAATGTTGTTATTTGGTTAGGATATTGTTAAAGGAGGTCGGAAACTGTCTTATGACAACATGTTAAATGTTATTATTTGGTTAGGATATTGTTAAATGTTGTCATAAGACAGTTTGGAATATCCTCCTCTTCCCTTATGCATCCACACTTCTTACACTGCTACCTCCAATATTCCCTTCTTTCCCAAGGAACCCCCTCGGCTACGTCAAAGAATGGAAATGTCTTACTTAGCTTCTTCAAATGATTGATCCTATCCCTTATGTATTCGTCTTTATGCTTACAACGGCTTACGGATATCCCCGCATTCATAGCAATCTACCCCTTCCAAGTCATAATTCTTTGCAAGTCTTTGGTATTGTTTTTCATGTATCTTCTTATGAGTTTGAAGACGTTGGTGGGTACTAAGGACCTTACCGCAGTCATTACACTGGGTAGTAATTTCCTTATGACAAACGCCCTTCTTAACCGGCATGGTACTGCAGCTTTTGAAGAGTGCTGAACTYCTTATTGCAGTCCTTACAAACCTTACTAATTGCCTTCTTTGTGCATACGCCACACTGCTGTGAATCTAAGAACTTCAACTTACCTACAGTCACAGACATGTACTTCTCTTTATTGTTGGGGATACACTTTACTTCAGACCCATCAGTTCCCTGTAGTAGAAGATGGCTGTCATAACCCCTAAGGTTATGAAAGAAGACTGGGATCTCCATTTCTGGATCTACTTTGAAGTTTATATTGCATTTCCAATGTGCTGCTCCTCTGTATTTACCCGTGATGTGGCAGTGATCTCTAACCTTATCCATGTAGAAATCCTCAACAAGGGCTTTGTGGCAGTGGATGCAGTGGGTAGAAGGCTTGTCTGGCTTTTCTCCCTTCTTTGCGTACTTGCCACACTTAAAATGAGCTTTTCCTAGATACTTTCCTTCCCCATCCCACGCCTTCTTGGCTTGCCTTCCAAACTGAAGAAGCGTCTGTTGGCAGATGTGGCATTTCTTTGCCTTGGCAAAAGCCTCCTGGTTCTCTTTGGTAAATACCATCTTCTTTGGATTCTTCAGCTTTTCTCTTATGACTTCCTCCTCTTCAAGTAATGCATCAAGAAACCTCCTAGCTGCATCGGGACCACGGTAGATCACAGGAGGATCTGCTTTCCCATCAGATCTGACTACTATGTAACCAAAGGAGCAGACCTCATGTAATCCTAGCTTATCTGTAGCACCGCTGTTTCTTTCTTCTTTCGTTATCAGTGCTTCAAAGTCCGCGTATATGACATAAGGCACCCACATCTGCTTCTGGTGGTCTGAATAGGAAAGGGTCTTATCTACARGCATCTGTATTCTCTGTGCCACCTCTTCTACTCCGCGACATATCTCATCGTGTGCTTTTAGGGCCTTAACACTGGTAAATGATAATAAACAGCAATCACAGAAGTACTTCTTACCTCTGTGCTTCGTATGTCTGTAAAACAGTCTGCTAATATGCTTAACCCAGGAGTAATGCCCGCCGTAGTAAAAGAGGTGTATCCTTTCTCCTCTGTTTTTCGATATTACCAGCGGCACTATTGTCTGATCCCTGACACCGTCAATAGCTAAGTCGTTTTCCTGCTCAAATATCGGTATATCCATCAGCTGCATGGGAAACTCCACACCATCCCATTCTAAATTATCCGTTGGGTACTTGCTTGGTCTGCAGGAATCCTTATCTGCTGGGTACAGTGCGGATCGTATTGCCCACATAAAGCATAGATTATCGTTGCTTTTACATTGACTATGGCTTTCTTTCTCTCTATCCAAATAGGTAGTGGCACGTAACTACCTCCTCGTATAGGCACGTACCTTGCCGTACTAATGTCTAATCCTTCTACCTCCTCTATTACCCAGCCTGATCCTTCCCGCGTATAGTTGGAAAGAGACTCGGTAATTGCCTCCAATACACTGCTAAGTGACTGTCTTAGGTCGGTTGATTCTAATATAATCAGCGACTTTGATCGCAGCATTGCTGTCGTAATGACATCATCCTTTACTAATCTTACTAATCTGAACCATTATGCTTGATTTCAGTGCACCCAGCTCCTTCAGCCCTTCCAATAGCGTTCTTTTCATCTTGTTTTCCGACTTCATCCAAAACTGCCTGACGTCAATATCACCGTTTCCGGGTATCGACACCGTCTTAAAGTTGCTTTGGGATTCCATATATAATAGGAAATATCTTTTACCTAATACCAGGTCCTCTTTATGTCATCGTAATCGTTCTCACAGTCATAACAATGCCAATACAGCTTGACCTTAGTAGGAAAAGACTTACCACAGGGGCAATCATAACTGTCCTTACACTTTGTCTTTTTCATCTTTAAATGCTYCTTGAGATCTGCCTCCCTCTTAAATGTTCTACCACATTCTTCGCAATACATATATATTTAGATGATATTTTGGACTCTTTCCATTACCAAAACAGTCGGTATCGCTCGGTGAATACGTGAATCACTACTTTACGCAGGTGATCCTGGGGTCGGAGGTGCGCTGATGCCCCCAACCCCTATACTCAGTCGGTATCGCTCGGTGAATACGTGAATCACTACTTTACGCAGATGATCCTGGGGTCGGAGGTGCGCTGATACCCCCAACCCCTATACTACTCAAGCGGAAGGGGAATATCTTTATTTACAGTGATTTAAATGAATCTCCCTACGTTGACGAGGCTGTTTACATCATAACACGTAGTAAAATATTATAACGATATAATTTTAAACTTGAATACAACTTGTACAGAGTTTTGCGCGCTGTGAATGATTGAGTGATCAGTAATTTTGAAGTACTCTTGATGTCATGGTGTTTTCCTAGTTCTGCAGCATTAACTACAATATTACAATATAGACAACTTCCCAACCCTTGAAAATACCAATACCTCTCTATTAGGTAGGCATGTCTGTGTGGGAGGTATGGATATTTTCTAGAATTGCACAATATGCCCTCCTCAGACCCTCCCCACCCCTTGGAAATCCCAATCCCCCCTGTGGGGGAGGTATGGGTAATTTTGGATCTACACAATACATCCTCTCTACTCTTAGAAATTTCAATCCCTCTGCATCAGCAGTTATGTACATGGTTGAACATATACTTTCTTCACAGTAATGACAGGTCTTATTAGAGTGCACGCACTAAATCCGTGAACATTAAATAGTACTAATTAGTACTATTTCATACAGAATCCTTTGTTTTCTATTGTTTATTTATCACTATTTAGTACTAAAAGTTAGTATTTGTTTCACAGGTTTAGTGTGTGCACTCTAACTTAGAAAAGTCACAAAGCTTTACAAAAAGTCTTGTTTGGTCATATGAAGCAGGCCCGTCACTAGGGGTGGCCTAAAGGTTCATAGTACGAAAATGAAATAATGTTTAAGCTCTATTTTTTTGTTTTTCRAGAAATGGCACAACTAAGATTGGTAGAAAACCGAACCTCCCCTTTCAAGGTTCTAGCGACAAGCCTATGGTGGATATATCAATAGTATATGATTCTACTGAAGAGTTACTTGTAGCAGACAATATATTTCCCTAAATCTAACAAGTATTTCTCTAACTCGTAACCACTTGAGCAATAGGGCCAAACCAACACCGGTTTGACGAGTCTTTCATAAGAATGATGCAAAATTCTATTTCTTTAAAGATTTCCTTATTAAAGCCAATCTCTGCAAAAATAAAAATAAAAGAATGGTCAATGCTTAGCAAAAGTACTTTAATAATTATATTGTCTAGTTATTTGTCACATTGGTGCATGCGTGCATGCACAATAACCTGCATATGCACACATACATCTATTTCATTTTCATAGTGGGAGGCGTGGCGGTGCCTCTCATTAATGCAACCCGGGTTCCAGTCCTGCTGGGCTCAGTGTGATGTAAGTAGAGTTGCTTGTTGGTTCTCTCCTGTGCTTCAAGGGTTATTCTCCAGGTTCTCTGGTTTTCCTCCCTCCGCAATAATCAAGTCTTAACCAATCCAATCATGGAATGAGGCCCACAGGTTTGTTAGCCACTGGCTATTACAGTAAGACTACTCCAACCAAGACCACCTCAACAAATTTTGTTTGGCTTATTCGTAGAAAATTTGTTTGAGTGGCCTTGGTTGGAGTAGTCTCACTGTAATTGCTACACTTGTAAAAACAAGGACGTTGTTCTATAGAAGGCAGCCAATCAGATTGCTTTATAATAATTATTATTGTGGCTATGTTTACTTATAACATTATTTGGATCATGAATTACTAATGATAATACAGGTATAATMGTAGAGCTTTCCTATTCAGAACAAAAAGAATACTCATACCTGTTTGTGAGCTTCTGTAGTGGCTGCCTTCTTGTACGGCCTAAGCTCATCTGCACCAAATCCTGGAATCCACATATTCCAACATCGTTCTGAACAGAAAGAAAAACATTCAAGAAAAATTCACAAGACATTACTCATAGTAACAGACCCTTCTAGTCAATTTCCCATTTCAGATCCCGTCACTCCCTTGAGTATTATTCGGTGCTCTGATGGGCCGACTTGGACAGAGTGCGAGGGTTTCTATATATATATATTTCTATATTTTATGTTTGRAAATWMATTGTAAAGCGTYATAGAGTGWAATATATRACGCTATAGAAATTCATTAAATTATTATTATTATTATTAYTATTATTRTTATTATTATTATTATTATTGTTATTATTATTATTRTTATTATTATTATTATTTCTTTGTTGACAAATAATACCTAAGTGAAGCTGTACATCTTTGACTTCTAATGTGTTTGACTTGCGATGTTTGGCTATCTGGCATGATGCATTAACAACATTCTCAATAAAATCATCAGCAATTTGCAAGAGAAGCTGCAACAAAACAAGCATTTTCTATCAGTAAAAAATCTACTGCCATTGTCATAAACATGCAAACTCGGTAGCTGCAAGCTGCACACTGAAATTTGGTTTTTTGCTGCCGTCAATTAAACCTAATCAGTCCGTACCTTTCATATTTTTGGCTGGTGGCAGTGAAAAACCAAATGGACAAATCAAGACTACAAAATTGGCATTTGCTAGCCAAGCGCCTCTTAAGGCCAGTCCTCAACAAGTCGCATTGACTGGACACATTTTGATAAGTCCAATGTGAGCAGTCATCATGACCAGCAACTGTTATTTTTAGCCCTAAACATCACCCAAAATGGTAATGTCTGTAACATTGCATCCACAAAACCTCCAAAAAGCCACCCAAACTCTATGTATTTTGTAGTTGTTTGATCGATGATGATGATGGTGATGATAATGGATGATGATTGTGATGATGACAGTGATGAGGATAGTGATAATGATGGTGATGATGATGATGATTGTGATGATGATAGTGATGACAATAGTGATAATGATGGTGATGATGATGATGATGGTGATGATGATGATGGTGATAATGGTGATGATAATGGTGATGATCATGATGGTGATGATGAAGATGATGGTGATATTGGTGATGATCATGATGATAATAAACTTTAATAAAGTCTCAAATCTTATAGCTTGGCACAGGTACTGATGACGATTAGTTACTCTAGCTTACATCTTCTACATCATCATCCATTTGTTCCTGGGGATCTATTTCATGYAGTAGTTCTTGTATTCTTCTCTTGGTTAGTGGCTGCTGTGGTTGTGGGCTGGATGTTTCAACCCTATTCGTTATTCCTGGTGATGATAATCATCATCATTAATACAACAGTACACTGATTGAATTGAAATATGCCAACCAATTAGAATAACTATTGTTCTAGAATGACTAGCCCCTCTTTCCTTTGAAAATGTTTTTATGTTTCAGTCCCAAACAATATTTACTCAAATTAGATTGGATGGATGATGGATGGAAGAGAGGGAGTGTAGGGCATGCATGCAGGAAGGTATAACTGGAATGTACAGATACGGTAGATAATGGAGCAATGTTTGGATGGATGGATGGTTGGATCCATAGGTCAGTGGATGGATGGAAGGGAGAGTAAGGCATGCATTCAGGAAGTGATAGCTAGAAGACAATACCCACCTCCGTGAGAGACAAGAGACTTGGGTACAGAAACAGTGGATGATGGAGCAATGTTTGGTATAACTCCTGAGGTATTGGGTTGTGTGGTAGAAATAGCAGCACTACTCTGAATCTTGTTTGGTGCAAGTCTCTGTATTGGAACTGCTTGTGTTGTGCCTGGTTGGGTAACTATCTTGACTCCTGGTTGAGTACCAACTGATTTAAAAATAAATTATCACTTAATAACATGTTTTGTTTTTGTTTTCTCAACATATATCTAGTTTAAAACATATATAAAGTTTAAAACATTGAATTATAAGAAAAAAAGGTAAAAAAGGGTTAATTAAAGTCAGGGTACAGCTAAACCATGGAACAAGCTTATCTAAATAAGAGAATGGCTAACTCAGATTGAACCCTGAAATAACCTCTGGGATGATCTAAGTCAGGGTATGGCTAACTCACAGATCAAACCCTGAAACAACCTCTGGTGTGATGTAAGTCAGGGCATGGCTAACTCACAGATCGAACTCTGAAACAACCTCTGGTCTGATCTAAGTCAGGGCATGGCTAACTCAAACTGAACCCTGAAACAACCTCTGGTCTGATCTAAATCAGGGCATGCAATCTCACAGATTGAACCCTCAAACAACCAACCCTCTGTGCTCTTGCATTCTGTTACCTTGCATTCGGTTACCTTGTGTTGACTTGATTCCAGCAGGTGTTACACCAACAGGCGTGGGAGATCCAGTCACAACCCTTTGTCCAGGTGCTAAATGAGTCTGTCCAGTTGCTGGTGTCACAACTTTTACCTGGCCTTGGGCAACCTGCTGTTGTTGGGTGACGGCTGCCGAGGTGCCTCCTACTGTGACTGGTGAGGTAATTTGAACTAATGGGAAAGAAAATGGGAAAGATTTGGGAAAGAAAGAAGAAAACAAAATGAGAATGAAATGAAATTGAAACTTTTTCTTGCTGTTGCTAAAAGATAAATAACAAGTAGTCTGGGATATTCATGGTAGCTATCCTAAGATCATCATAGATATCACTACCACTATCTCCCTCTCCACATACACCATCAAATATCAACACTAACACCACCACCATCATCATCACCATTTATCATTTACCCCAAACATCATCATTATCATGACTAACACAACCATGATCATCATTATTATCAATACCATCATCACCATCACCAGCATTATCATGTTTATCACCATCATCATGATAAATAATTATCATCAACAATTTCATCACCATCGTTATCAACCGCTATTGTCATGATCAATCGATATCATCAACATTGTCATCATTATCATCATCATGATAACAAACCATCACTACCACGATGATCAATCATCATCATCATCATCACTATCACCATCACAACTATCATCATTCACACCCCACCTGTGTGAGGTTGTCCATGTGCTTGTGCATGACTCAACACTTGAGCCTGGATCTGCTGAATCTGTTCTGCAGTCAAATTAGTTGAACTTGAGACCTGAATCGTCGTTGGGATAGTGGATCCCTGTGGTAAGATTGTGACGGTAGTTGTGACAGGCAAATTTCCTGGGACAGCAGGTCGTGCCCCCTGATTGGACGCCACTGCAGGGACAATTCTTTGTACAGTTTGTTGGGTAGCTGCTGCTTGTTGAATCGCTCCTGGAATTTTTTGTCCTGCCATGCTGGCCTGTGCAAGATTGGATGCTGGATTCTGTGTGGTTACTATAACCTGAAAAAGTAGCACAGCAGAAAGCAGAATCAATATTTACTATTCAATTACCATCTGTCTTTGACTTTACATATACAGCTTCAACAAATAAGGGGAGTTTTCTTTCTTGTTTTGATAGTAATGTGTGTGTATGTGCATTGAGAGAGGAGTAAAGGAAGAGCAGAGGCTTCTATATAACTAGTTTATTGTTGCCATAAAACTATAAATTCTGGACAAAGGAGTATCATATCTTTTATGCTGGGCTAAGTGATGTGTGTACAGTGTGTTTTGTGGTGGGGGGTGGGGTGAGGAGAGGGTAGGATAATGGAGAGAATTTAAGAGTAATAGACCTATCCCGGATTCGCTTGACTGACCACGAAACGATGGTTTGAAGTTGAGACTGGACTTGATTCTTTTATTCATCAAGTTTAACCTCCGCTTGAAACCATTATATCGTAATCAGTCAAGCGAATTCAGGAAAGGCCTATTGGCCTAGTCTATTAGTATAAATCCTTGACTAAGGAGTATCATATCTTTTTGTACGTAATGTGGGGGAGGGGAAGAAGGAGGAGGATTTAAACATAACTGGCTTAAGCCTGGTGTACAATTTCACACATGTGATTGGGGAGAGTACTTTGAGTCAGTACCATTAGTTTCACTGAAATACAAAATTCCATTCAATTCTATTTCTTTCCACTTTACTATTTTCTATTGATTTTCTTTTTTTTCACTTTTTATTTTTATGCCTTTCTTTTGAATACTATAAACCACATTTACCTCTCCTTGAGATTTTAATAGCTTTGCATAAATCAATTGAAGTTTTTCCAGTTCTTGAGCTTGTTCTGGTGTGATGGGCCCTGGTCCAAAATTCTGAAGGRAAAAAAAGGAGAGAAATAATGTTACGAAAAATACGCTTTTTTTACTCCTTTTTTATCTCTAAAAATAAATGCACTCTTCATAACTAATGGTTAATAGAAACCACTTTATTCGAAGTTTTACTTAAAGCATCCTATCAGGCACAATAAAACTGCTTTGGAAGATTTTCTTTTGACAATTTTTAGAGCGAAAGAACGAAAAAAAATGAGTTTTTCACCTGAATTCTTTTAGAAACTTCTTGTAACATTTCCTCGACAGATTTCCGCTGCATGAAGCTACCGCTCGTCACAGGGATACCTGGTTGTTGTGACTGCAAGAAAGTTGAGAAAAAGCTTTAGTTTTAAGCGGAAATATGGTCCAAAAATCCATTTTTCTTGAAGAACAAAAAACTTGTTACTTACCGCCATATTGAAAACCCAAGGCCGGGACACCAAGCCAATAGCTTGGACACAGGAAGCCCAAAAATTACACGATAATTGGTACAAAATGATTGCAATAAAAAATTCCTTTAGTAAAAATTTATAATTTACTTGCATTATTTCATTATTTCATTTTTCTAGAAACTCTCTTAGTCTGATTTCAATTCGTTTTAAACTCAAATGTTTTCCCCTTTTGGGGAAATTTATTTTGGGGTACCTGTGGTTTGGAAGCCGGAACATCCGCCATTTTTATTTTGTGGTGTGAACAGAGTTCAGTTCAGAGTTTCGATAATTTAGAATAAACAAACTCATTTTTCTTATCTAAATGTCGCGACAAACCTCTGTTCGATCCGACACAAAGAAAGTGGTATGTACCTTGTTAACTTTAACACATTTGGCTAGTTTTTTTTCTTAATTTTTAAGCTCATGTTTTGATGTTTTTCGTGTGTTGATATTTTCAGAGTGCAGAGTTATTCACACTAACCTATGGATCTCTCGTCGCTCAGCTCGTGAAAGACTATGAAAGCGCACCAGAGGTCAATAAACAGTTGAATAAAATGTACGTAAGTTTTCGGGTTTTTCACATTTGATAACGAGGAACATTCCTTTTTTTACCATCTTTTGTATATATGTTGGCCTGCATTCTCAAGGAGGAATTTTTTAGGATTTGTGAAAAATTATGTTATGTGGAAATGTTATCGTAAACTACTGATCATTCCCCACTCACCACTTATCATCACCCTACCCACCACTGATCATCACCCTACCCACCACTGATCATCACCCTACCCACCACTGATCATCACCCTACCCACCACTGATCATCA